AACTGGCCCAATGGCTATGACTGCCACTTTAATATCTTATTATGGATAGAGTGTCCCTGGTTTAAAAATCCAAAATGCAAAATGCTCCAAAATTGGAAATGTTTTGAGCCACCTACATATTTCAGGTTTTCAGATTTGGGGTGCTCAATTGGTATAATGCCAATATTCCAAAATACAAAAAAGTTGCAATGCAAAACACTTCTGGTTTTAAGTATTTCTGCTAAGAGATAGTCAACCGGTACTACTAACAAAAATGGTGAGCCAGTGATTGATTTCTTGAGTGATGCTGTCTCTTCATGTACTGTAAGCCTGTTCTTCAAAAAAAGTATTTAGTAATGAAATGTTGATCATCATTGTTTATCAGGTACCTATAAGTGCTCTTTATCACTTTTTCCTCATCTGATCAAAGCTGGTTTTGTTATGTTATTTGAAGAAATGTAGATGGATAGAGAAGTAGATGTGGCCTGGTGACATCTATGACCATCATCCTTTTGTCCTGTTAGGGAAGAAACCTCCAGGTATAAACCCTAATTGGCTTGTAGAGTTTATTAAGGTCTTAATCGGATACTGGGAAATTTTCCCTGCCCTTAGGTGTTCCCTCGGCAGGACAAGATAGTTCTAGAGCCAGAATTGACGCTTAGATTCGTTTTTGTTCAGTGACTCCTTCTGCCCATTCTGGGAAAAAGTGGGAAGCTGAGAAAAAAGACCAGAGGTTTTCTTACTTCGTTTAATCTAGAGATAATTTGCTTGGTGCAGACTTTAGCCAGGTATAAATCTGTATATATAACATTTGCCCAGATCTGATTGAGAGTCTAGAGCTGTGCTGTACAATAAGGTAGGCACTAGCTATATCTGGCTTTTAAATGTTAAGTTATATAAAGCTTAAAATCCAGTTCCTCAGTCACACACATATTTCACATGCATAGTAGTTACATGTGGTGAGTGGTTACTGTATTGGACAGTGCACATTACAGAACATTTCCATTATTAAAGATTATTCTAGAAGAGAGATAGAAAATGATGTATTTGTTCTGAATGATCAGTGATGGCTACTTGGAGAAATGTGTAAAGAAGATTCTGTGATTATATCCATGTCAACCCAAGTTGCTTAATTATGGGTTAGCAATATGTGTCCTAGGAAGAGAGAGCTGGATCAGGTATGGGGGTGTTAGCTGTGGCATATGTGCTGAGTGTCTTCCAAACAGAAACCTACAAGGGCAAGAGTAGAATATTTAATCTAGAGGGGCTGATTATTATCATTTGGTAGGAACAGGTTTTTGTTTGTTTGTTTTCTTTTAGCAGAAATCCTTGAGAGAGAGAAGTGAGAAGCTTTTGAAGTTTTCTCATTCCTTGGTTTCCTGTTTAAGTAGCAGTCACTTTTGTTGTTTCTGAGATTAACAATGATACTTTGCTTTTGCATAAAATGAAATCACAATGGCTGCCACTTGTTGGTTTATCCCTCACATAAGGAATGGTTGTTACGTGAATAAACATAACCCTCCAATAATCCAAAAGTAATTTCATGATCAAGTCACTTTTTACCTGCCAAGACACAAAACTGGCTGAGGATGGTTTTTCTTTGTTTTGCTTCTTTAATATCTTCTGATGAAGGATAACAAGTGGGAATTAAAATCAAAAAGAAACAAGGAAAACCTGGTATAGTTTTGTCACTCTCTGTATAATCACTGTTCTCAGAATTTGAGGTCTGTATCTGATGACATTTTTAAAATCTCTAATAATTAAGGGTAACTAGGATTGTTTTCCTGCTAGTTTCCAAACTAGAAAACAGATTTTAAAACTAGACTACCAGTTCGGCAACTTTTATGTGACTTTGAGCAAATTACTTATCATGACCTCTCTGAGCCTTAGTGTTTCCACCTGTGAAATGGTGTGGAACAGAATCTACCTCTGTGAATAATGGGTAAGGACTAAGTGAAATATAAATCCCAGAGTGCCTGACACCACCACTATAAGGACTCAAATGTTAAACCATATTATTTGGGAAAAGTAGACCACACGCACTTGAAGGCAAACACTCTCTGTTCTGTCTTGGCACTGTCCCTTATCGGTGTGTGACTGTTGTTTGGTCGTTTACCCTCTTTTGACTTTGGCTTTCCCTTTTGTAAAATGGGTAACAGTAGAAGCTATTACAAAGGGAGCGTTCAGGGTTAAATCGGATAATGCACATCAAGATAATGCAAACACCTAGTACTTTGGGAGGCCAAGGCAGGTCGATCACTTGAGATCAGGGGTTACCAGTCTGGTCAACATGGTGAAATGCTGTCTCTACTAAAAATACAAAATTAGCCAGCTGTGGTGGCAGGCGCCTGTAATTCCAGCTATTTGGGAGGCTGATTACACCACTGCAATCCAATCTGGGTGACAGAGTGAGACTGTCTCAAAAAATAATAATAATAATGCAAGGGCATTGCACGTGGTGAGCGTTCCATAGGTGTTAACTGTTAAGATGCACGTGATGATGTCTAAATTAGGAGCAGCCTTGCCAAAAGATAGATTTGTTTTCTCTCTTCTCCTTTCCATTCACTAATCTCCAAACTATACCATTTATACTATACATGGTAAAATGTGCACTTTGTGTATTTATTGGTATTTCCCTATAAATTATTAAGCCTCCTTTATTAAGTTTTTGGCTCAACTAAAGCAGTAATTGGAGAAGCTGTTATCATAAAGACCTTTCTCGCTGTAGTTTTTCTACAAGTTTCAAGATCATGCCTAATATAAAAGGCCTGATGATCAGGGCAGGAAAGAGGAGGAGTCAGTGTGGAGCAGGAGTGAATTCAGGCCTACAGCGAGTCTGGTTCATTGTCTGAGGGCCTGGCCCACATTGCTCCTAGGATGTAGGAAGAAAAGTCATTTCAGAGAAACTAGTGGCCAGAGAAGTTACTACCGTGATTTGCCACTATATCTTCCCTGTCTTTTAGTCAGCATATGTCCTTCTTCTCCCCCTGGCAGAAGCTGTAGGAGACAGAAATGGTAAGTCATGTATGGCTGGGGAGGGTTTCTTCCAAAGACTGGTCCACACTGGATGGTGCAGCCTCCGCAGACACCAAGAATTGCTCCTGACCTATGGAAAACAACTTTTTTTTCCAAGAAAAGTATTTTTAGTCCTTTGGTGTAAAGACACAGTCCTGAGCTGTTTTCACTTATTGAATTCTATAACTAGGAATGAAACGCTATACTTTTGCTAAAAATGACCTTTTTTCTTTCAGAATTTTTAGGAAAAAAATCCATAATTCTCTCATTTGTAATTTCAAAATTATTAGGTCCTTAGAACATTTTGTAGCAAAACATTTTCCTTGGAATTTACATCTCCGGTCTGATCACTTTCACCATTACTCTCTAGTATCTCATGCTCAAAATCCTGCATTCAGCTTTGTGTCTTCTCTCTTTTCAACAGTCTCTGTGTCTCTTACTTTGAAAGACTTCTCACGACCATTCTTTCTTTTCTGATTTCACTACCACTGCCCAGGTTTTAAATTTGTCTGTATTTGCCATAACAACTTAAAATTTTTTTTTTATTATAAAAGGTAATACATGCCCAGTCTAGGAAATTTGGAGAATATAGATAAGGAGGAAAATAAGTCATAATTCAGAAATAAATGCTGCTTATAGTCTAGATTTTTATTTCTAGTCTTCAGCAATGTCTGTCCACTTGTGTTTGTATATGTATGTGTTTAAGGAAATTTGGATTTACTCTTCATACAGTTTCATGTTGTGATTTTTACTACCACAGTTTTTTTTTTTACTTGAGATATTAGCATGTTCCTATATCATTATTTTTCAAAAAATGTTAATGTATACATAATAATGTCTTATTTAGGGCAACATTTATTTAACAATATTGTTAGCCATTTAGATCTCCTTTTTCAGTATTTAAAAACAATGCTTGACTTCCAGTATTCACAGTATAGTGCAGTGAATAAGAACACGGGCTTTGGCAGTTGAGAAGCTGTGGTTTGAATTCTCATTCTGCCATTTATTCGTAGGTCTCAGTGCAGTAATAGGCCTCAGTTTCCTTCTTGTAAAATAAGTATTATTATGGCACTTATCAAGAGACTTGTGCAATTTAAAGGTGGGCGATGTACTCATTTACTCATAGTTTGGCACATATTAAGTTCTAATAAATAATGACTGCTGTTATGAAAGTCACCTGTCCTTAACCATCTGCAATTGTTTTGTTGTATAGTTCCCAGCAGCTAGACTGTAGTATCAAAGTGTACAAATATTGTAATATATTTTAATAAGATATTGCCAATTGATTTCTAGGAAGATTCTCCCAATTTATAGTCACACAAGTAGTACAAGCACCTAATTTCACCCTTTGCCATTGTTGGATACTATCTTTTTTATTATTGTATACCAAAGTGATATGTAAAAATGGTGTCTTGTAACTTGCATTTGCTTGTAATTTGCATGTCTCCCTTGTAATTTACATTTACCAGTAGAAATGATGACTAGTTTTACATGCTTAATTGGCTAATTGTATTTCTCCTTTGTACATTATTTATTGACATCCATGCCTATTTTTCTCTTAACCGCCTTTTTTCTTTCTAAATCAGTGGGTTCTTTGTACATTATAATAATTAATGTTATTTATAACAATTTACTGAGCATTTAGAACATTCAGATGAGGAAACAATGACAGAAAGACTAGTTTACCAAGTTTTTTTGAACCTTGTGTGCTTGTCTAGCTTCTTGCTGTTTTTGTTGTTCGTCTTTTTCATAGCACCTGGCACAGTCCAGTGCCCTGCACTTAGTAGGAGCAAAGCAAATGCTTGTTAACTTACATTGACACTGACCACCGTCACTTCTGCTCTTTGTGCACAGGAGCCATTCCTTCCTGGGTGCCTTTGTCACAGCCACAGCTTTAGTTCAGAAGGGTCAGCATTTGTTGGCCTTGACTTGAATTTTCTTTGATATGTTTTTAACGATGCTTTCTAAAAACTCAAGTCAGGTTATTTCCCTCACTTTATTTCTAGGTAACAAACCTGAATTTGGCAACTGGCATCATAAACAGAGGCAGTGCTTCAACTCCCCCCACCCTCCGACCCATCATCAGTCCTAGTGGCCCGACATGGTCAATACAGTCAGACCCCCAAGCTCCTGAGAATCACTCCAGCCCTCCTGGAAGCAGGTATGTGAAGGGCCCTGCAACTAGCATTTGGGTTACACAGGGATGACCTGTGTCCCAAGCAAGCCATTCCCACCTGGAGTTCTGTATGGAGATACCACTAAGATGTTAAACCCTTTCTTCACCTACCTCTCTCTTCTGGCACCTAAGAGAGCCTCATTTTATTTGTAAGACAGTTTTCAGGCATTATCAAATGAAAAGGACATTTCTGAGATAGCTAAGAAAGTCACCTTGGGGTAGAAGAGCAAGAATTTACACCGTGTTTCATCCTTGCTTAGAGTCAGCATTTTTATGTGCCAACTTTCGGTACTTTGTCCTTGTCTCCTAGGTTTTTTTTCATACCTTGTGTTTTTTATAGTTTTTTGTACTACATTGTGTTTGTTTCAGTAACTTTAGACTGTGTTCTTTTGAAGGATGTATTTGTTGTTGTTGTTTTTATCTCGTTTCATATTGTTGATCTCAAACAACCTCCCTGAACAGTGCTCATTTGGGAAGTGGCAAAGAAATTTCCTTTATGTAGTTGAGAGATATGGCTCAAGATAAAATCCAAGTAGCTTCTGGCCGTAATGTAAGCAGCTTCTGAATTAAAAAAGAAACCACTGTATTATTGAATTCTTGTCTTGCTGTGTGTTTTAATTACCCCTGTATAAAAAAAAAGTAAGAAATAGATTCCCAGTACATCTTGCTTTAGTGCGTGTTAAGTGTAGATTAAATTGCATCAGTCCCTGAGTCAAATGAGCTAAAGAAAAATGTGACTGTTACAATGAAATTTTTTTTTTTTTTTTTTTTAAGACAGTCTCGCTCTGTTGCCTAGGCTGGAGAGTGGTGGCATGATCTCGGCTTGCTGCAACCTCTACCGCCCAGGTTCGAGGAATTCTCCTGCCTCGGCCCCCTGAGTAGCTGGGACTACAAGCGCTTGCCACCATGTCTGGCCAATTTTGTGTATTTTTATTAGAGACAGGGTTTTACCATGTTAGCCAGAATGGTCTTGATCGCCTGACCTTGTGATCCGCCCCCTTCCACCTCCCAAAGTGCTGGGATTACAGGCATGAGCCACTGCTCCCGGCCATTAAGTGTTTTGACCAACTGAGATATTGTTCCCTCCAACTAAAGAAGTTCTACCACAGGTGCCCAACCAAGCCCCCACGCCCCGTCCCAGTACTTCCGGCCTCTACCTTTTAGTATGCTGCCTTGCCCTGAGATTTGGAGGGAGCACTGAAGACTTAGGCATGGAGGAAATACCTAGTTGTTGGTAAAGTATCTATTGGTGTTAGAATTACTACTTAAGGAACTAATTTGGGAAGCAGAAGCTCTGCCCAGGACGCAGCATAAATATAAGCACATTACATCATCCTGTGGTACAGTGTCTTTCATACCAATGATCATTGTGGTCAGGGTGAAAAGAATCATCTCAACTGAGAATTATAAAGAGCTGACGACCAAGAGGCAGGACTTTTTAAGGCAGAGCATCTTCCACACGGTTCTTTTCCCAGGAGAAGTCTGCTGTTTGGTGATTTACAATCTACAGAGTAACTGCATTCTTAAAACATAAGTCGTAAAAAAGAAATTCTGTAATTCTGTTTATACCATAGAGCTTTATTTTCCATTAAAAAATTTCCAGATATTGCATTTTCATTTTAAATTCAGAGCCTTGTTTTTTTGTTTTTTTCTGGATTTGGCGCAAAAGTACAGAGCCTTGATTTTATGGAAAACATTTTCACTACAATTTTGGATATAATGTCTCTATGACAAGGCTACAGGCATTGCCTACTGCAAATACGATGTCAAAACTACACATTTTGGAGAAATTGAGTTTTAGCACTTTTTATTCTCGTAGATGGAATGAGAGAAAACATTTTTAATAAAAATTGTGGCTGGGTTTAGAGCTTTCTTTTGCTTGCACCTGTCAGTACTGAGATGAAAGATGATGAGTTCTATCAAAGATGTGCCGGGACCTAAGATTCAGCGCTGTGAGAAGCCTTCTCCCAGCCAGACTGCCCACAAGGCTGCGGTAATGCTCGTGGTACGTTACGCGATTTACTTCTCAACCACTGCAGCCAAAAAGCAACCCCCACAAAGTCCCCTGGTCTTTTCCTTTTCGAGTTCTTTTAACCCACAACAGCTCCACTGAGTGCTTTACCTCCTCTTCAAACATAAGAGCCAGTTCTCAGGTCCCATTTCAGTTCAGGGTAGCCCTGGGACATCTTCCTCTGCCCCCAAGTGACCACTGGTTGCCAGGACTGCCTGGAGCCTGAGCTTGAGAGTTTCAGTTCCACGTGGAATTCCCAGAGGTACCCACCCTAAAGGAACCCTAAATGAATTCTCAGAGGTCTTTCCAGACTTGGCTGTGATGTAGGCCCCAGCCAGACCTGCAGCATGCAACCTGCACAGTACAGTGTCCTGATTTCCATTTTGACCTGGTAAGTCACTGTTTTGTGATATTTATTTAGTCTCTTGTTGTTCCTCCTTTAATCATAAGAGTGACTAAGTTTAACAAATACAGGATTTGTAGCTTAGAGATCTGAGTTTTATTACTGGTTTTGACATTAAGTGACCCTAAGCTATTCATTTAATCTTTTTATTGGGTAAGCATACTTACATATAAGTGGCCTGTTTTGAGAGCTTTTAGATTGCCTTTAAAGTACTTTGATCTCCCTGGAAATAGGTGCTAGGTAAATAAAAGATACTCTTAATAGTTTTTCTACAGTAGCAACAGTGGATTCCAGTTTAGTTCTGATAATTCACTATACTAGGGTCTTCCCTGTAAACTGTACTAAAATGTAAAGAGAATCCTATTGCTAGCTGTACTTTTCATCTCAGCACGTCAGAGAATTCACTGACTTGGTAGCCACAGGAATGAAAACTGGTGACTCACAAGAACTCTGCAAATAGTGTTATTTTTCATTTCCCTATGGTGTTGCTATTGTTCTCAGTTTTATGGATCACACAAGTTTTCATCAAACGACCTTATTCTTCTCCCTTCCTTTTGAAATCACCCCAAATGTAGCCTCAGGGTTGTCGTCTCCCATTGGGTCAGTATAAGCTCAGCCCAGCTCCTCAAATCCCTTGGTTCCTTTGGTCTGTCTGGAGTCCTGTTCCGGCTTTGTTGTGGGAGAGGAAGGCAAAGAGCCCACGACTTGCCCAGACAGTCTGAGGCCTGGCCATGTAGCTTGCAGTTCCCTAGACACTCTGGAGCTGGACTTGGCCAGCCATCCCTCTGTTGTTACTTTTTCAGAGGTAATAAGTGAGATTAATTGCAGGCCATTCTCCAGAAGAGAAAGTAGTTAGAGCCAAATACAGTCACATGTTTAGAAGCCTGAGGTGTGCCTCCAAGCAGGGCTGACTTAGAATTATAGAGTAGAGACTCCAGGTTGCAGGTACCAAGTGTTTATGACCTCTCTTCCTTAAAGTGATGTTTTCAGTTTCTATGTTAGCTTTTCTTTGGCCAATAAGAAAGATTAGATTTTTCAATCTGCCTTTTAATTATCCATTTTTTGGGCACATGGGGAGTCATTAGGAGCTGAAGGTTGATGTGCAGAGCCGTCTCATCATTACTGCCAGCCTTCCGTGGAATTGGACTACATCAGAGAGGATTTTCTAGGTGTGGAGTACTCAGTGGGCTCTCAGTGCGTTTTTCTTTGTGAGACCTGGAAGGGTTACTGTAAAGTCTTGGCTGCTGCTTGGAATGATTTGGGAAGAACAGGGCCTCAGACAGCTTGGCAGGAACCTGAGGCCCTGTTTTTTTCCAGTCCAGCCCTTCCTTGTGGATCGAGCTGTCAGGGAATCCCACGAATGTCTGGCTTCTGCCCCTTTGTATGTTTTTCCAGCATTTGTCATTGAATTATTTTTATCCACCTCTGGCTTTTTCACACACGCATCCTGGGGATTTGTCTGTTCCTCGATATGAAAGGTGGGGGAATTTGCAGAAAGCATAGCCATGAGTTTGTTTCTAATTTTTGTGATAGGACAAGACATTGTGGACATGGGCTGCTCGACCTGGCCAGCTCCCATTCTCTAGAGAACGTCTATATGTCAGAACTTGAAATGCCACCAAGGAATGGGAAATCTTGGGAAATTGGAGCCATTTTCTGTGTCACTCTGTCCGTCTCTCTTATTCAACAATAGACTATAAATAGTTTGGTATTCTGCTTTGCGTAATTTTAAGGTACATATTTTTCAGAGATTCTGATCCTAGCTTGGCTAATAATACTTTCCTCCCTTCCTTTAGGTCTTAGAAATGTTGCTGGGATTTGGGTCTCTAACTTCTCATCTTTTCATTCTCAATCAGTCCTCAGAAATACTGAGTTTGTTAATTTCCTTTAAAAATATATCCTATGCATTTTCTATATGTCAGGTGTTGTGTTCATTGCTAGGGAGGAGCAGTAAATAAAACAGAATAGTTCCCGATCTCAGAGTTTACTCTCTAGGGTGTATCTTCCTTGTTCTCAGGACAGTGTTGGGTGCTGGGTAGGGTCTAAAAGACTTTTTTAAGACCTGATGTTTGATCACTAAGAGGCTACTATCTGGCAGGAAAAGGGAGCGTATACACACGAAATAATCAGAGCAGTGGCAGGCAGCATATGATAAAGATCTGAATTTTATGGCATAGACATTAGAAGAAAGGGTGTCAAGAAAGGCATGTAAGGAGTCAGTCCTGTCCCAGGTGAACCTTGAGGACTGTATGCTCAATGAAGCCAGCCAGTCAGAAAAGGAGAAATCCTGTATGTGTTTACTCATACGAAGCATCTAAGGTAGTCAAAATCATGTAAACAGAAAGTAGAAAGATGATTGCCAAGGGCTGGGGGAAGAGGGGAGAGGGAATTAGTGTTTAATGAGTATAGAGTTTCAGTTGTGAAAGATGAAAATGTTCTAGAAATCTGTTGCAGAACGATGTGAATGCACTTAACACTCCTGAACTATACATGTAAAAATGGTTAAGGTGGCACATTTAAAATTATGTGTTTTTCTTTTACTACAATAAAACAAAGAAGGGTATGTAGGGA